ATGATTATCCTCCGTCCGTCCGTCCGGCAGTGGCCCTAGCGGTGTCCCGCGGTGTCCCGTGGTGTCCCGTGGTGTCCCGTGGTGCCCGCCGTTGCTAGGGCGAAGGCAAGACAAATGGTTATCCCCCGTCCGTCCGCCCGGCGGTGGCCCTCGGTGTCCCGAGGTGTCCCGTGGTGTCCCGAGGTGTCCCGTGGTGTCCTGTGGTGTCCCGTGGTGCCCTGTGGTGTCCCGTGGTGCCCCGTGGAGTGAGATCAATAGTGAGATCGATAGTGAGGTCGATGGTGAGATCGATAGTGAGATCGATGCTGAAATCGATACTGAAATCTATGTGGTGCCCTATGGTGTCCCGTGGTGTCCCGTGGTATCAAAAAAATCGACAATGAGATCGATAGTGAGATCGACAGGTGTCCCGTGGTGTCCCGTGGTGTCCCGTTGAGTGAGATCGATAGTCAGATCGATGGTGAGATCGATACTGAGATCGATGTGGTGCCCCGAGGTGCCCCGTGGTGTCCCGTGGTGTCCCACAAAATGTAAGCGATAGTGAGATCGACAGTGAGATCGACAAGTGTCCCGTGGTGTGCCGTGGTGTCCCGCGGTGTCCCGTTGAGCGAGATCGATCGTGAAATCGATTGTGAGATAGATACTGAGATCGATGTGGTGACCCGAAGTGGCTCACGGTGTCCCGCGGTGTCCCGTGGTGTCCTATGGTGTCCGGTTGAGTGAGATCGAAAGTGAGAGCGATAAAGGGACCGATAGAAGGATCGAGAGGTGTCCCGCGGTGTCCCGTGGTGTCCCGTGGCAGCCCCTGGTGTCCCGTGGTGTCCCGTTGAAAAGAAAAAAAAAAGAAAAAAAAAAAAAAAAAAAACAAAAAGAAGTGAGATGCGTCATGAGATCGTATTGCGAGATCGATATCTGAGATCGATCGTGAGGCACCGAGGTGTCCGCGTGGTTGCCCATGTTGTCCCCGTGTGAGTGAGATTAGATAGCGAGATCGTACTTGAGATCACAAAAACAAAACAAAAAGCAAGAAAAAAAAAAAAAAAAAACAAACAAAAAAAAACCAACAAAAAACAAAACCAAAAACATTAATACAAACAACAAAAAAAAAAAAAAAACAAAATCGACAATAACAAACAAAAAAGAACAACAACAACACAAAAAAAAGGAAAAAAGAACAAAACAATACGCAGCAACAACGCAACAAAGACAAACATCATCAACACAGAAACGGTGTCCCGTGGTGTCCCGTGGCGTCCCGTGGTGTCCCTTTGAGTGAGATCGATAATCAGATCGATGGTGAGATCGATGTGGTGCCCCGAGGTTCCCGTGGTGTCCCGTGGTGTCCCGTTGAGCGAGATCGATCGTGAGACCGATAGTGAGACCGATAATTAGACCGATAGTGAGATCGAGAGGTGTCCCACGATGTCCCGTGGTGTCTCGTGGTGGCCCGTGGTGTCCCGTGGTGTCCCGTTGAGTGAGGTCGATAGTGAAATCGATAGTGAGATCGACAGGTGTCCTGTGGTGTCCAGTGGTGTCCCTTTGAGTGAGATCGACAGTGAGATCGATTGAGTCAGATGTTGGTTCCCCCCCCCCTCTCCCCCCCCAAAAAAAAAATCCGTATCACCCGCAGGGTGGTCGTATAGGTAGGTATGTGTGCATGTGTTTCCGCTGGTTGGCTGGTTGCTGTCGCCCCCAGGCGGCGCAACGTGCGAGGAGCTCGGGCGCGGCGCCACCCTGTTTGAAGGGGCCCTGGGACACACAAATAAATAGACACAAATAATAGGGTTCCCCATCTTTTCCTATACTTTCTGGGTTTTTGTCTTCCCCCCCACTTCCCATATTTTTACCTAACAGCACAGACTGATAGGTTTCTAGTGGGGTCGAAAGAGAGCATCTTGACTCCCCAGGGGGGTCTGGGCGTCTGGACGGATGCCAGGGGAAGCTGGGGAATCCGGGGACTTCCCAGGACTCCAATAGATTCCTATAGTTTCCTATGGGTTCCTACAGATTCTGTTCCCAGAATACCCTTCCCAGGCCACATTTTGAATGCCCGGAGCCAACTGTAGGCCACTTCGTGTTCTTCGTCTTCCCAGAACACAATTCCCAGGCCACATTTTGAATGCCCGGAGCTAACTGTAGGCCACTTCGTGTTCTTCGTGTTTCCAGAACACCATTCCCAGCCCACATTTTGAATGCCCGGAGCCAAAACTGTAGGCCACTTCGTATTCTTCGTCTTCCCAGAACACCATTCCTGTACCACATGTTGATTGCCCGGAGCCAACTGTGGGCCACGTCGTGATCTTCGTGTTCCCAGACCAGCAGTCCTGTGCCATATTTTGAATGCCCGAGCTGAGGCAGGCTGAGGCCGAGGCAGGCTGAGGCCGAGGCAGGCTGAGGCTGAGGCTGAGGCACGCCGAGGCAGGCTGAGGCTGAGGCTGAGGCAGGCTGAGGCTGAGGCAGGCTGAGGCTGAGGCAGGCTGAGGCTGAGGCTGAGGCTGAG